TGTTATTGATTGATTATGTGTTGATTGAATGATGATGAGTATCGTGGTCATTGCGCAATGGCCAGTGTGATTAATGATGATGATGAGATTGTGATTGGTGGAAATTAATTGTTGGCGGTTGGCACCACTTGTGCCCGGTCATTGTACTAAAGGTATAGGCCTAGCGGTTACTGTGGTTAAAGGCACAAACCCACCTTCGACTTGCTTGCTGTTGAGCATGGGTCAGGTTATAAGTGTTGCGGTGTCATGTCAGGGCTATATTCGCTGACCCCTTGATATTGGCACTAGAGTTGTGGATCATGTGAATAGCCCTACGTCGCTATCTTGATATGTTGGTGGTTGAAAAGTGTTTTGTTGGTGGGGGCATGTAGTTACCCGGAGGAATTAGGGAGGCGATATAAGGGTAGCCTGGAGGTATAGGTTGGTAGTGAAATAAGGACGGAGGGGAGCTACAAGGTTGGAACTTGGTATAAGGTTGGAAGATGGATTGTGTGCTTTGATGATTACTTGCTAACTGATTGTCTTGAATGCCTTTGTTGTCTCTATTTGCTATTTATATGCTTATTTGTTTATTATGTCTTGTATCGTGTTCTTAGGATGCATGCTAGTCTTTACGATTACTCTATAATATCGTGTTTGTTATTGTGTCTCGAGTCTTGATCTTGGATTTAAATTAGAGTCTCATAAGTATATATGTATTCCAGTTTCAAAATGATTTCTTATATCTACCTAGATTGTACTTAACGCGTTGGAGTGGGTTACTAGCATTATTCGCTGACGGTTGTTACACCGCATGTTTTTTCAGGTACAGATTAGTAGCTTGGAGTGCGTTTGTTGGATTCTTGGATCTAGTCTGGCTAGCCTTAGATTTAGTTAGACGGCCTGCGAGCCTTGATTTGTATGCATTTATGGATTTATGGATTTATGTTTATATTAGTTAGTTTAGCTTGTGCATATAAGTTCTTCAGCTTAGATGTGGCATAGCACCCTGACTATTATGTTTCGTTTATTCTCTGTTTGGGATTTAATATTAGATTCGCCTTTATCGTATAAGTTTTAAATACTCTAAAATTTAGGGGAGTTACACAACTGATTGACTGAAAAGGAAAGATCAGGACGAGTGACAGTTAAATATTGTAATGCACCAGCCAAACTCCTGTACTGTGTAGGATCATCGTACAATGTTGCATCAATGACCATGGCTTTTGAAGTAGAAATAGGAGTAGATAGTTCTTTACATTATGCCATTCCAGCATGTTTTAGAATGTTATTCATGTATCTCTGTTGTGAAAGCAAAATTCCATCATTGCATTTAACTATCACAATTCCAAGAAAAAAATCCAAGTTCACCAAGATTTCTAATTTTGAATGGAGTAGAAAGTTTTGACACTAACTGAGTAACTAGATCATGATTACTTCCCATCATAAGTATATCATCCACATAAACTAACAGATATACACAATCAGATCCCTGTGAGTAGTAAAACAAGGATACATCCATTTTTTATGCTTCAAAACTAATAAATAGTAAGAAGGTCTGCAAATGATTAAACCAAGCCCTAGGTGCCTGTTTTAATCCATAAAGAGACCTTTTTAGCAAGCAAATGTGATTTGGATACTGAGCATCAATATAACCAGGTGGTTGCTTCGTCTACACAATTTCAGATAGATTTCCATTTAAAAAGGCATTATAAACATCAAGTTGCCTAACAGTCCACCCAGATGATAAAGCCAAAGAAAGAAGTAACCTGACAGTAGTTGGCTTGACCACTAGACTGAAGGTGTCAAGAAATCTTGCCCAGACACCTGACTGAACCCTTTTGCTACTTGTCTTGCCTTATGTCTCTCAATGGAGCAATCTGCCTTTCATTTTGTACAAAAGACCCACTTACATCCAATAATATTCATACCTGCCTGTGATGGTATGAGAGACCATGTTTGATTATGAAGGAGGGCATTGAATTCCTGATCCATTGCTTCACGCCATTCTGGGTACTTAGCTGCCTGAGTGTAACAAGTGGGATTCGAAGGACAAACCTGAACCGTTAAAGCTGATGGTGGAGCATGTGACCTACTCTGAGTGCTCATCACGCGAGTCCGGACGATGGACTTCACGGATTTGCCCCGAGGTCGGCCATGAGGCCGTGCAGCCGGCTGGACAAGTTGGTCGTGCAGCTCGTGCTCGGGTAGGCTGGCTGGCTCATTGGCGGTGCAGCTGTGTCGCCGCTAGGTGTGGCATTGGTGTTACCATGAGACTGCTCAGGTGGGGCAGCGATGGTAGCACTCAGACAAAGAACCGATTCAGCCCACAGATAAGTCTGTACTGGTTGAGAAGCCTGCAATTTATTTTTAGTAGCAAAGGGATATACTGCCTCATCAAACTTCACATGCCTGCACACATAAATCTTGTTAGTTTGTAAGTCAATGCACCTATACCCCGAAACGACTCAGGATAACCTAGGAAGACACATGGAGAGGATCGATATGACATTTTTGTGACGATTGTATGGTCTGAGATACGGGTAACATAGACATCCAAAGACACGAAGAAAAGAGTAGGAAGGATGGGAGTTATGCAATTTTAAATGAGAACTGGAGTTATTTAACACAACGTATGACATTTTGTTGATTAAATAAACTGCAGTTTCAAAAGCAAAATCCCAGAATTTATATGGAACAGAGGCACGGGCTAGGAGAGCTAAACCCGTTTCAACTATGTGTCTATGTTTTTGTTCGACACGACCATTTTGTTCATGAGTGTATGCACATGACCGCCTATGGTTAATGTCTAGTTGCACAAACAAAGAATGTAATTGCTTATATTCAGTTCCTAGATCAGATTGAATGAACTTGATTTTACGATTGAATGAACGCTCAACTAAAGTACGATTGATCATATATAACATAAAGATCAGATTTATGCTTCATAGGAAAATACCAGGTGTAACGAGAATAATCATCAACAAAGATGACAAAATAACGATAACCATTAGAGGATAGTAAAGGAGCTGGTTCCCAAATATCAGTGTATATCAAATCAAGAACATGTGAACTATTAGACTCAACACGTGCCAAAGCGAAACATGCAGATTTTCTCAATTGACACGCTGAACATAAACTGGAATTACAATAAATAGTACGACTAGAGCCACTAACCGAAAAAGACTGAAGAATTTGACTAAAGACACGCTGATGAGGATGACCCAAACGATCATGCCAAACCGAAGCGGAAGCACGAGCGGAGAGAAACGCGGAAGGAGACGAACTTGGAACAGGCAAAGTGTATAGGCCACCCGAACTAATGCCTCGTAGGATGATTTCCTTGGTGGTGGTATCTTTCACAAGAAAAAAGAAGGATGAAACTCAAAGAACACATTATTATCTGTAGCAAAACGTTGAACAGATAATAAAGAGGTAGACAGACTAGGAACATGCAATATATCAGACATCGTAAAAGACCTAGAAGGGGTATTAAAAGTAGCATGACCAACACGACTAATAGACAGGCCCATACCATCACCGACACGTAAAATGTCATTACCAGTATACTTCTCTGAGGTAGAAAGGGCAGCTATGTCTGGAGTTGCATGATTTGTGGCTTCAGTGTCCAGAACCCAAGTATGAGAATTTGACGAGGTTTTAGCACCCAAACTACTCTGAAACACCAAAGTAGCCTGAGGACTCGTAGCCCCTGAATAACGCCGAAAACAATTGGCTCCCGTGTGACCGAAACCATTACAAATTTGACACTGCCCATCATAGCGCCGAAAACAATTGGCTCCCGTGTGACCGAAACCATTACAAATTTGACACTGTTCGTCAAAGCGCCGAAAACAATTGGCTCCCGTGCGGCAGAAGCCATCACAAATTTGACACTGAATTTTAAAACCACGTTGCTGACTGGACCGCTTCTCAAACTATGTATCCTGGTTCGATGTCATCGGCTGCTGCTATGGTAATAATTATTATTAATGACGACAATAATAATTACTATGAATCCTAGCTAATTGATACTAGATGAGAACTGTATAAAACTATATTGAATGAACTATACAGATTGTGGGAATATATACAAGAGGAATCATAGAGAGACTAGGATAGGGAGTAGGAATCATAGGGAGACTAGGATAAGGAGTCATAATGTGACTCAAATACATAGAATCCTAATACTAGTCCTACTAAGGAGATTGCCGAGAACGCCAATCGACGTGGTTCCGAGAAGCTTTTCTTGCCTTGCCGAGCCGAGGATGAAAGCTTTAGCAGTGAAGCCTGCTTTCTTTCGGTTGTTGCTGCTGGAATATCAGATCTGAGAGGCGGCGGCTGATGCATTTGTCTGAGATTTTGTATCTTTCTGTTATAAAATTCTGTATTTTAAGAATATAAATTTTTGTATCTAAAATAAAGTAATAATTGTATATTTGTATTATGAATGTGTATTATATTATGAAATTATGTAGTTATGAACACAAATTATATACTTAAATCAGATTTGAAAAAATATAAGTAAAATGTGAAAGACTTTATCATTAAGTGCACGAATGTTATCAAAGTAAATTAGTTGCATTTGTAAGTGATTTTACTTGTTCTTTTTACTTGCAAACTTGTACCAATTATTTGCACTTGTAACACATTTTACTTGCACCAAAGTTTGAGTTATTTACGAAAATGTCACCGCGTTATTTTTTAAAAGTTACATTTGATTTGTGAATCTGAATGCGTAGATGACTATGAGTTATTCTAATTTCTCTCCTGGACAACCGTCGGTTTTTTTAAATTACATCTGAATAATCTGGGACACCGTGAACGGCTGTGAGTGATATATATATATATATATATATATATATATATATATATATATATATAGGATCACATGAGAACTACCCTTCAACAACACAATTAGTTACCCCCCCCCCCCCCCCCCCCCCCCCCAAATTGTCAGGACAGGGTGTAGGGCGCCTGAGGTGGGAAATTCGATCTTGTCACAAGTTATTAACAAATGTACAAATGTACAATCAGGTATTACAAGTTGCACAATCATAATTACAGAAATATGTAATTACATAAATAATTACAGAAATGTGTTTTCAGGCATTACAAGCTAGGTGCACAATAGGTTCACAGCTCTCATAAAAGGGTACTCATTTAATCCCATATATATATATATATGGAAATCATCATCAACAAAAATGGAAGCTTGACAAGCCATATGCTTAATGCTTTCAGCCTTGTGCTTTTTGTTAGCAGTGTGTTGTGCCCCAGGGAATGTCCACTCACCAATTCTGTACAAGAAAGCCAAAAATGATGCTGCAGCAGCTGTGACCTTCATGGAGGGGGTTCGGGTCAGCATTTTCCGCAGCGATTATGCAGGAAGTGATTCTGGGCACAAACAAGAAAAGCGTGGCACAAATACATAGATAATCGATTTGATGATTGACATGTGAGGTTCATTCTTCGGCCTGAGTGTTGAAAACGAAGCTTGGGAACACGGTGGTGATGTTCCTATAAGAAGAGAAAACGCGGATTGTAAATACTTGTGAAAACAACACGGGGCTGATGGGCAATATAATATTCAATTGCCTTGTACTAAGTAAACCGGGTTCCAGTAAGCAGTCAATTTATCTGTTTTCCTGAATAGGCAATCACAAAGAATGATGAAATGTACAACGAACTTTGGAGATATCTTATGGAAAGAGAAAGAAGCTAAGCGCATATACTTGAGATAAGGAAGAGTCATGTTCTTCAAGATCGAAGGATGACGAATCACAAAGCCCTTCCAATCCTCTTTATTAATTTTACCATCCCTATCAGCATCAACATCTGCAAACGTCTGCCAAAAAACGCAGCAGATTATGCATGCATTATAATACGCCTACTAAAATGACAACTTTGGAGGCAAAGGCTAGCTGATACCAAAATCAAGTAATACCTTGTCAATAATCTCCTCGAGAAGATCATCGGATAGTTTCATGTCAGATTCCATTAGAATCGCGATCACCATCTGCTTAACCTGAAAGAGAAGCTTTATCAATCATTTAGGAAGACCATGACATCAAATAAACAGAGATAACAAAACAGTAGAATTGGGCGATAAACTGAATATATAAACTTTGCCCAACCAAGCTTATGAATGAATGAGACTTAAAAAACGAAACTAAAGAGTGAAGACAGTAATATATTCAGAATTCAGAAATGCCATTAATTTTATTAAGGCAGTAATACATTCCGAATTCAGACACACCTCTTCACGCTCAATGAAGCCTGTTTGCCTCAGATCATAAAGCCGAAAGGCAACTGCAGAAGCAAGAAACATTTCACGAGTAAGCTATTATTTGTAAAGCAATTACGCAACGCTTGCTAAAACTAACACCCATGATTCCTTACAATCAATTTTCTCTTCAATTGGGGCATTGGGATGGAACACATTGAGCGCGTGGATGAATTCCTCGAAATCAACAATACCATTCCTCTTCTCATCAAAGAGGTCGAATACCTGGAGAATAAGCAGAGCTCTCAGAAAGCGCATTAACATAAACACTATTCGTTTTCCTTCTTTTTTGGGGATAAACCCAACAAAAACACACACTATAAAACAAAGATAAGAACTATTAGTGCATTTACCCGGTCCAGAAACAGGTTCTCACCATATGGTGTATGGAATAGTGCTAGCTGAAGCTCTTCCTATGAGACCATAATAATTAATATCATCAAGAAACTAGGTAAAACTTCATAAGAAACATCTTTTTTTTTTTTTTTTTAAACATGTGAATAACAAAGTAAAAACAAAATCAAAACCTGGGTTGACAAAAATTGGATCTTTTACCTTATGAATCAAACCATCATCTATGATTGAACAACTCAGCTTCTTATACAACTCATATAATGCTTCCACTTCATTCAAAGAAACTGCAATAGCAATTAACAGAAATAATTCAGTTTTCCAAATCTATAAATAAATTCCCCCCAAAAAAAACACACAAAGTTGAGGAATCACATCTAGATTCATTGGCTAGTCGAGAAATATCCTTGAGAGGGCACTGAATCCGTTGATTCTTATTCTGGGTTAGAAAGTGTTTGCCTCCGAAACAGCCCGAGACTGCGAAAACCAACGCTTCGATGATCGCAATAACCGGCAAAAACGCCACGCATAGTTTCTCTGACAACGTTAATGAGCTCGAATCCTAAAAAAAAAAAAAAAAAAAAAAAAAAAAAAAACCCAAATTAGTTCTCTTTTAAGTACATATAACCATGAAGGTATATAGAGAGCGAAAGATTCTTGAACTACCATGGAATTGTTGGTTGAACCCATAGAAAAGATCGCCATTTTCTCTCTCTACTCTCTGTCTGTCTGTGTGTCTCTCTCTAGTTTCTCCTGCAACGAGTATATTTTAGGAATAGAGTATTGGCAAATTATTGTGTGGATCATGGTCACATAATGTTACGTGGACCATAATAAAAAGTAAATTTGTAATATATTAAATGTATATTATTTTTGTATTGAATGTATATTACACAATATAATATACATTTTAAAAAAAATAATGTACATTTTTTAATACAATGCACATTATTTTTGTTCTGAATGTACATTATTTTTGTATTAAATATATATTATTTTATAATAGACAAAATATGATTCACACAATTTGTATGGACCATGGTCCACATAATAATGATTGTTGCTTTAGCCATGAATGAAATGAATCGACAATTTCATACGATTAAAGGACCCAGCAATCAATTTATAAATTATACATTCAAAATTTTCTTTATCTTTTTCTTACAATTTATGCTAACCAATTACAGTAGAATTTTAATATTATTATAAATATAATAAATAATAAATTTTAATATATAAATTTCGTAAACCATCAAATTAATATATATATATATATATATATATATATATATATATATATATATATATATAATATTATAATCTTTTATACTTTATTATATAAATTTTGTAAAAAAATTGAATTAATATATATAATGTTATAATTTTTTTTTAATTTTATAACTCAATATTATAAAATTTCGAATTAATTTCATTTTTTGGTCCTAGATTTATAAGTGACAGTACACTTTTAGTCTTTTTTTATTAGAACAACCTTATTTTGTCCTAGTATTATTTTGGCATGATCAGTTTTAGTCATCTGTCAACAAAGTCATTGAAATATCATTAAATACAAAGACATTTCAATCTATTTTATACAAAGTATGTTAACCCGCAATATTTTTATGTTTATGTTTATTTTTTAAAAAAATTCATAATTGTTGACCGATATTTTCTTATATTTAACGATATTTAAATTATTTTATTGATACATGTCTAAAAATGATCATGTCACAGTAATACTAAAACCAACAGTGAATGTTCTGATAAAAAAGAATTTAAAATGGACTGCCACCTATAAATTTAGGATAAAAATGAAATTGTATATATATATATATATATATATATATATATATATATATATATATATATATATATATATATATATATATATATATATATATATATATATATATATATATATATATATATATATATATATATACATAGGGTCCGGATCAGGTGAGGACCTAATCTTAGGTGAGGACGTGAGGACTAATCTAGACCATTAAATCAGAATGATGTATGGCTGAGATTAAAAGGAACAAATCACACGGATTAAGAAAACAAATTCCTTTAAAATATTAAAATATATAAATTTAGGGTAAATCAGTCTTATTAAAAGATGTGCATTCCTATATAAAATGTTGTGCATTCGTATACTGAGTGTTGTGCATCGATAACTTTATTGTTGTGCGTTCAAACCCCGCCAAAAAATCATGCAGTGGACATCCCAATGTCCTAAGATGCACTGAACTGTGTGCTATAATGCACAACTCTCTAGCCTATAGTGCACAACTTACAGCACTAGGTTGCACAATCAGCACACACGAATGCACAATCGTACTACCCAGGCATTTATACATATACACGAAAATTCAAATATAGACAATATTATACTCAAAAGAACGAGCGAAAAAAAAATAAAAAATACTGATTAGTTTGCATGGGCGAACACTCAATCAATGATGAAGAAATCGCGGCTCCAAATTGCAACGGTGATGATCCAAGAAAATAGGAAACCAATTTGGCCAAGGATTACACATGCGTTCATACTTAAAAAATAAATAGAAAAAGACACTACTACCCCACTTTAACAAAAAAAAGATCAATCCATATCATCTCAAGAACTCAAATCTAGGCCATCCAAATAAAAAAACAAACGCACAAGATTAGTCCTCACGTCCTCACCTAAGATAATGTCCTCACCTGATCCGGATCCTGTATATATATATATATATATATATATATATATATATATATATATATATATATATGTATGTATGTATGTATATATATATACATATGTATATATATATACATATATATATATATATTTATACATACATACATATATATATATATATATATATATATATATATATATATATATACATTTAATATATTACCATTATGAACATCTAGCTGTTTGTTAAAAAAATGTACTGATTTATTTAAAAAAAAACATTCTACTGCTCAGATTGCTCGTGATGGATTCTGTGTCTTTGAACCAAACTAATGCGAACCAAACTACTCATACCATTGCCGATGATGTTGTTGATGGAATGCCAGGAATGGATAGTTCTACAAAGAAAGGTAAGTCTAAACAACTTACCTCTTATGTGTAGACTTATTTTACAAAGATTCCAGTTGGTGAAGATGGTATTCAAAGGGTAAAATGCAATGGTTGTTTAAAAGAATTTAAAGCTGGGGTGAGGGGGGGGGAGATATATAGAACTTCTTCATTAAAGAGACACAAAGAAACATGTAGGATGTTAAAGTTTCATGATGTTGGTCAAATGTTTGTTAATCATGAAGGCAAACTTGAATCTAGGAAAGTAGATCCAAATGTTGCTAGGGAGTTGTTAGCTTCTGCAGTCATCAAATTTAATTTTTAACTCTCTATTATGTTGAATTTTTATATAGATACTGAAGAAAGTTCAAGTTCAACATCAAATTTGTCCTTTGAAGATTCAAATGTTGTAAATCTTGTTGATAACAATGATGAAAATAAAGATGAAGAAGATGCGAATGTTGGAATGATGTAATGGACTTATGAATTTATGAACTTATGTAGTTAAGTAGTTATGTTTTGTACTTTTGTGGAGTTTGAACTTTGAATGTTTGGTTTATGAACTTATGTAGTAGTAGTATGGTGTATTGACTATTTGGACTCTATGGTGTCATTTTTGTCTTGATGTGATGAACTAATTTGTGTTATTTACTTAAGAATAAGTGTTTTAAGTAGATAACAATTAATTTATTAACATAGTCACATTAGAGTTTAGATTTTAGGGACATGATAAATAAAATGTAAAAAAAAAAAAAAAAATAGGCGGGCTTTGGGGGGGGGGGGGGGGGGGGGGGGGGGCTGCGGGCCTAAGGGGGACGAGGCGGGCTGCCCCCACCTAGGCCCATATTCTTGGCAGGCTTTTTAGCCCGCCCTGCCAGCCCGGATTGATAGCTCTACTTGTGGCATGATTTTAACCTTGAAGATGTCCGAATTAGACTCTTTTGTCTCTAGAAAATTTGTAGCCCTTTGAGTTTCCGTTTTGATGCCACTTGAATCACCTCATTTGGATACTCCTAGCTCAATATATGATCAAAATACAAAATTGTCACTGAAGCGCCCTTAAAATGACATTGTTTTCATATATTGCACAAATGCAACCACAATTACTCATTATTCTTAATTTTAATCAAAATAAGCTATTCTAAGCATTTAATAAGATCAAAAGACTCCAGTTATAGCTAGGGGTGTTAGCGAGCAGAGCTTTCGGTAAACTACTCGTGTTCGTGTTCGGTAAGCGTTCGTTTATATATGTTCGTTTATTAAGGTAAATGAACATTAACAAACAAAATTTAGAGCTCGGTTTATAAACGAACAAAGTCTGAACAGTTGTAAGCTCGTTTTCTAAGATATCGTGAACAAGCTCGTTTGTGTGCATTTAATAATGTTTGCGAACAAACTCGTTTAGTGTTCGTTTATTATATTCGTGAACAAGCTCGTCTGTGTTCATTTAACATTTGTTTGTATTCTCTGTGTAGTTGTGTTATGATTAAATAATGGGAAGTCCATGCGGTATGTCTAGCATTAGAACAAAATATAACAATTTCCAACATTAACAGCCCTAGTTATAGCACAAGATGTCTTCCAAATACCCCACAAAACATAGCATCTTGGGCACTTATTAATATATACACATTGAATTGCAAGGCATTAACACAATTTGTAGCTTAGACTCAATGTTAGGCATATACTTCAATTATGTAATCTTTTTCTCAATTATAGATATTTTTCCCTTGGAAAAAAAAATCATCGATTATGAATATATTTAACAAATTGTTAGGTTAAAAAGAAGTTAAATTAAAGGATGTCGTTGGTTTAAGTGGTGGTTAATTAGTTTAACTAGATTCTTTTTTAAACTGAAAGGGAAAATTTTCCACATCTCTCATAGGGTTTTCTCCTAGGTTTTCTCTCCGTTTTTTTTTCCTGGCTTCTCTCTAGTCGACGTCGGCTCTCTCGCATTTTCTATGCGTGTTCTGTGTTTTTCTGCACGAGTTCGATGGCTCAAACAGAGTCCGCTGGTGAGGTGGCCGCGCTTACACAGCGTTAGGCAGATATCGTTCTTGAAGAGGAAGAAATGGCATTCCAGCCGATTAACGACGGCGTGAACGGGGATGAGGGTGGTACTGAGGTTGCATGGAGAGTTGTTGGTCGTTTCTTGACTAAGAAACTCATCAAGATCGAGTATATGCGGCAAGTTCTTACATCGGTGTGGCAACCGGTGAGGGGTATGCAAGTTTCTGAAATCCAGCATCATCTATTCTTGTTTGTGTTCTACCATAAAACTGATATGGTACGGGTACCAGAGGAGGGTCCTTGGGCATTTGAGAATGCAACCCTAGTTTGTAGGGAGGTGGTGGATGGTGTGCTACCAGGGAACGTGGCTCTTGACTCTGTGGACATGTGGATAGAAGTGTATGATCTATCGTTGGGTTATACATCGGATAAGATCCTAGAGCAGATTGGGAACTTTTTGGGTACTTTTATTAAGGGAGATGATAGGTTTGTCGGAGCCCCGTGGAAAACGTTTTATTGGATCCGTGTTGCATTGTCTGTTGATAAACCGATAAGGCGTTGGATGAAGTTTGTTAAGTGTGACAAGTTTACATGTTGGGTCACGTTTAAGTACGAGCACCTGCATACTTTTTACTTCTATTGCGGAATGATTGGCCATGTTTATAAATTCTATGTCCATGCTAGGGATGCAATGATCCCC